CAGAAAGGCAGTTGCATTTCCTCCAGCTGTTCCACATATATGGAAAGGCAGATAAGCAGATACCCAGATAGGCAGCCCTAGTAGCTTTGACAAACTATTTTATTTTTCACACTTGTGGTCTGGTCTTCCCACTGCTACTAAGTGGAAAAGTGATGTTCTGTCACTAATTTTTCATCTCTTATTAGTTTCACAATACCTTCCCTCCACAAATAGCGCCCTATTTCTAAAGGCACAAGGTCTTTGTATTTGACCTGTGAGCCATCCCACAGCTGCTCAGTAGCATCATGTAAGATACAAACAATAAGATTCTTTATATGGACAAAAAATTAGATTTATTGGAAATACTGAGATATAGGCTATTTAGCAAGTTATGTTTGTTCTAGATCAGAACATTATTCTTTCAAGTAAAGGGAGTGCTTGATGTTGTTTAGGAAACTTGAAGGAAAAGGGGTTGATGTCATGACAATTTGTGACGTGTTTTCACCAGTCTTCAAATGAGTTTTAAATCTTGCAGTGAGTGTCATTTGCAACCGACTGTTTCCCTTTCAGCATAACACCAAAACTAAATTTAGATTCCATTTTTTCCCTACTGGTACAGTATCTATATATTTTACATGGATATTCCCAGATATTTAATAGCAGAAACCATTTGTGTTGCAAGCAAGAATGTTAAAAAAAAACCCACCCCACCAAAACATTACCTATTATATCATCTTTTATTTTCTTCGCTTCACCTGATGAAAAATAGGGTGGAATTTACTAGAATTTTCTGCCCACTCCTCTTAAGTAATTAGTACTTTAAAAGTATTAATCTCTCTGCTTGCCTCTTACAGCAGGTCTTTTTCATCTGATATGCTCCTAATGTCAAGTGAAAGGCTGCCATCTTAGAGTCACTTCAAGAAATTAATAATAAAGCTCTGCAAATATAAGGAAAATAAATACATAATTGATGTGTAATGTCTAACCAATTTCATTGTTTCCACTACTACTTAATACTAATACCTAAACTTTTACTCAGAACTTTGCATTCTCAAGACACCTTGCAAATATGATGCATGTCCATCTTATATGTGTTTTGAAGGGCAGTGGAGTATGGGTTATCCTGTCATGGAGCCAACCACTCTGGCTGCTTGCTGTGGTAGAGAAGTGTTAAGCATTCCAGCGTTGAACATTTTTCCAAATAGCAGGCAACTTTGCAAAGCCATCACATTAGGTAGAAAACACCCAGAATATTCCCCTGTTTTCATGGGGACAAGCCAAGGGTTAACAGTGTAAATCTGGAAGTATATGGGCAGGGACTCTGAGATGAAAGAACAAATCATAACGCTTTTCTTCCAAGAGCTGCTGTGGGTACTCATCTCTGGCATTAAACTATGTCAACTCAAAATTGCCCCATTTTCTCACAGACTCTAGTGTCTAGCACCAATTCTGATAGAGAAGCAATATTTTAGTATTTGTCAGAAACTTTCTTGCTCTTTGAGTAGAACTGTTCTGGACATGCCTTTGACAAAAGGCCCTCTCTAGCTATTTGTAGCCCCCTTTAGGAACTGGAAGGCTGCTACAAGGTCTCCCTGGAGTCTTCTTTTCTCCAGGGTGAACAATACCAACCCTCTCAGCCTTTCCTTATGAGAGAAGTGCTCCAGCCCTCCATCATCTTGGTGGCCCTGCTCTGGACATGCTTCTACAGGTCCATGTCCTTTTTATGCCGGTGACCCCAGAGCTGGATGCAGCACTCCAGGTGGAGTCTCACAAAAGCAGAGGGGCAGAATCATCACCCTTGACTTGCTGGCTATGCTGCTTTTGATGAAGTCCAGGATAGGATTGGCTTTCTGAGCAGTGAGTGCAGAAACCTCTACTAGAGAAGTTATGAAAGACACAGAGGAGTATCACACAGCAAGAGAGAGAAGACGATATTGTAGTCAAGAATGGGCCAAGAGGAACTTGTCTCCCTCCATTGATTTTGCTGTCTGGGCTATAGTGGGTGTGCCATTATTTAAACTTACTGTTTTAGAGGATGCCGTTTTCTCCATGCTGGAAAAGCTCAAAGCACTGCCCCACTATGAGTGAGTGTCATAAATACAGGGCAGTGAGTCTTCCTTGCATGGTATCTCCCATTTACAGCTTTAGCCTTTTGCAAGTGCTTTCTCTTCTCAAAATCTATTTGCACACACAGCAAATTGACTTCCTGATAAGGTCAGTTCTTCAAGGACCAGGGCAGGAGTCAAAGAAGTTTTTCAAGGCAGCACAGAGGATTGTCCCTGCTACAGAGGCAGGCTGTTTCCTGTCTGTATTTTTCATGCTTTGCTCAGAGAGCTAAATCCTGTTGTCCTTATTTGGTCCTTATATACTCAGACTCTTCATTAACATCAAGGACATAATTTGCCTAACTTTTACCAGACTAGGTAAATTCCTTTTTAGCAGGGACTGTTGGGTTAGTTTAAGTTGCATTACCATAAAGCCTTCCTGTCAGCTCCAAGGCCTTAGTCTGCTAAGTTGCTGTTGGGTTTTTGTTTGTTTTGTTTTTCCAAATTACACCTAAAGCATAGTTTTTCTTAGTGCAAAATTTTCATTTGGATATATTTTAGTTTTTATTTTAATGTATTGCAGCTGTGAAGGTTTAGCTGCAAAACCATGCATGGCATATGATTCCATACTTGTGCATAGATACAAATTCACTTTGGAGGCAGAAAAGTCTCCTAGTGCTTCTCTGGGAAGACGTGAAACTCTGTTTGTGCTCCTTCTACCTCACTCAGGTGGCTGGGTTAACCTAGAATGTTTAACATGACAAAAAACCACCCATATTTAGACAGGGAATCAGAACACTAGCCATTCATCAAGTGTCTAGATTTTGATTCATCCAGAATACTCACAAGTACAGATAAGCAGTAGTCTAAGTTTTGGTTATTCTATACCTGTATTACATGATTTGTATTACTACAAGGAAAGAGGTATGTCTGAATCTGATTGGATATTGCTTTGCCTTGCCTTGCATATGGATGAAAGGCAACACGAAATCTAGTCCTCAAAATTCAGACTTCTCCTGCTGCTTTTTCTCAGTGTTTTAAAAGGTGGAGATGCAGGGGAGAAAAAAGGTGTTATTTTTATCTTTCAATTTTTGTTGGAAGCCAGAGGAACAGAGAAATGCTAGAGAAAATGGAACTGGAACCCTGGATGAGCAGACATCCTCTGAAGGACCCCAGTCCCTTGGGTCCATACCTCTGTATGGGAAAGACAAATTGGAAAGGCACCCTGTGGATTCTGGACAGAAACATCAAAATATTCCAATTCTGATCTCTAACACTCTGCCTGACCTTCACGCAGATAATTACATCAAGTCATGGAATTTGGATGCAAATTTGGTTCTGAGTTTCACAGAAGTTTGCAGAAATCAGAATCTCGCAATTTACGACTTTAAGAATATCTCTACAGGGCATGTGATCCTTGCTGATATAAAGTGAAGCTGCTCTCAGTGCTGGTGATTGATGAACTATATCTACCTTCAGCTGATGCATCAGAGCCATAGTAAGGGCACAAATGTTCCTCGTGTACAACTCAGAGCCTTGAGATAAATGCCCTATAAAATGGATGAGTCTGGCCTAATTTCTGCCACATATCTCTTGAACTTTGTTCAAAGGATTTAGGTTTGCAATGCGCAGCAGGGCGAACTGACTTTGCTGACCTGGACCTTTATGTAGTATTTACTTTAATGGCCATTGCATCCTTTCCAGGAGGTTTCATTTCTCCATTATGTAACTGCAAGCTATCTGGGCTGGCCCATGAAAGGGTGGTGGCTGTGGAAGACTGGTTGGGTGTGGTGAGCGTCAATGTGCTGTCAAGATACTTCAGTCCCCAGAGTGGTTGCTTGCATTGAAAGCAGAGTAGGACCTCCTCCCTTGGCCCGGAGCACTGCAGAGACACACGCAAAGACTGCAGTCAGCACTAAGACCTTTTGACCTTTCTTATCTAAGACTATACCCTTTCCTTCCCATCAGAGAAACATTTGGAAGCTGAGTGGCATTAAATATTAGGTCTCCCTGTGTAAATACAAAATACATTTGTATCCAAAGCAGGAAAATAGATGTGATGAATAAAAGAAATCAATTATTCTTCCTGTTTCAGCTGGAAAAAATGTTACTGTTTCCCTCCTCCTTACCCTGAATTTCAAAAATAAAGGGAAACGCCTATTATTTGCCACTTGTTCATTATAGGAGAACTGTATTTCCCTCTAGCTATTTGCATTTAAACAACTAAAACTGTAGCAGTCTGCCAGACCCTGTTTTGATTAGACTTGTATCTATTTTCAAAGATCTCCATATATTCTGGCAGTTCTATCAATCCAAGGGGGCAAGTTAAAGCTAACCTCACTTAACTGGTGTTTCTGACTTGCTCCTTGTTTCTGAGAAAGCTGCTTTGTGCCATGGTTCTTGCCACTGTCTGTTAGGGCTTGAAATGGTTACCATGTGATTGACCATGAAATCATTAGTTGAAGTTCCTAAAACAGCTGAAAAAAAAAATACTAAAAGCGTTCAAAATATTATTAGCTCCTATAACTGCTTTACATCAATTCATAGACATTAAATCCATGTAAAAGACAGAAACACTGTTAAAATGACAACCTTATGACCTACCGACCCTGTCACCAGCAAAGCGTTGAGGCATTTGTGTGCATGTCTAACTAAACACAGATCTATCTGTTTCTGCAACCCCTGGTTTTCTTTGGGCTTCTGCAGCAGCTCTTGAAAAAGATGTTTGTGAGACTTACTGCCTTTTCTGAGAAGAACAAACTTCATTTGTTCAGTTCATAAAAAGTAAATGCTAACATCAGTGTGGCAGGATGGTTAATCTATGTTCTTCCTGTTTTGCTTAAAAGCTGTGCAGGACATCAGACAGAGAAACCCTGAGTACAGGGTGAAACAGTTTACCCTGTGATTTGATTGTCCACATACTCCAATTCTGCAGCTTTTTTTTTTTTTTTTTATTTGATGCTTTTTTATCTTTAGGTAAAGTGGAAGCGGCACTGGACCTCATACTGATCAATTCCTTCCCTCTGGTGGGCAACTCCGAGACATCACTGATATGTATCAACTCCAAATGGCGTTCCCGTGAGTCTATCACAATCGACCGAGACCAGGAGGATGTGACAAACCAGCACCGGGAACCGCTGGAAGTTAATGAAGATTCAAAGAGAGCAGCAGCCAAAACAGTGGTGTGGAAGAGGGAACAGGCCAGGGAAACTATTGGAGCGTATTACTGTGAAGGGAAACTCAAGGATGAGGTGACAAGGATACACACCATGAAGATGCCCCTGCAAGGTACTGTGTGGTGGTCAGATCTGAGTTTATCATGGCACTGCCTGCAGACTAGCAGCTATTCTTGGTTGACATGAGTGGGCACAGACATGGTTCCAGAGCAGGCAAGGCAGTCCTGAGTCAATAAAAATAGACTTGGTTCGAGCTTTTTGCTGGTTTTTTTTTTCAAAATTGCAGAGATAACTGGTTGATACTAGGTGCTGGTCATTTCCTTGAGGAGGTTAGTCAGACATGACAGGTATTCTGCCTGTATCTGGCTACTGCCAGGAACACAAAGTCAGTCAGCAAATAAGGTAAGTATTGGCCTCACTGACCCCGTGGAATAACATATAACAACTCCTGTAGTGGGTTTTTCACATCCCTGACACTTGATTCCTAAACAAGCTTCCATTTTAAAATCTTCAAAGGTCTGAGATGAAGATAGCTAAACATCACTATTCTATTTTTCTAAATAAATAGGTTACCTGAACTTAGAAAATAATTGCCTTGCCTAAGGTTCAGTAAATCTGCAGGTCAGCAACACTGGATCTGTACATTCTGTGTCACTGTGAAACAAAAAAAAAAAGGATGCATCTCAACACTGGAAAGAAACTCCAGAGAAGTTTTACAAAATCTAAGAGGGTTATTCACAAAAATCCACTACAGGTTTCATGTTCACTTGATTTCAGTTTTAAGGCTATGCACAGTAGAAAAAGCAAATATGACAAGGGAGATAGCCGGATAAGAAGGTGGGATTTCCAAGGTCCAGCACACTACCTGTAAATAACATTTTTTTATGTTTCAAATTTCTCTTGTTTCTGGACCTAATAAAACATCTGGTACAAGTTCCAAAGCAGGGATAACAATAAACTACAGAAAAATACAAGAAATGTTGGGTAATTTTCTGCAGCAAATCAAGTTCTCAAGACTGTGGCTGATTTTTAATAGATTTTACTGTACTGCTGATGTTTTGTGCCATGACAGCTGGTTAGTCAGGTAACTTTACACTTTTAATCTTTCTTTGTAAGGTTTTAGTAAGACCAATTTTTTTTGTTGATATCTCCTGGAATTAGATAGTAAATTTATAAAAGGAGGTACTTTGATTTGTCAGAGCTGCAGCTAGTGTCTATTTATTTCTTTGAACATGGATATGTTGGAAAAAAAAAAGGTACATTTTTCTTTGGCTTATGTTTTCTCTGACCAAATGTGGTCTTTGAAGGGTTGGACTGGTCACCAAGAAAGCTGTGCAGATGCAGACTGACAACTCCATTGTTTCAAAGGGGGCTGCAGTGAGGAGGAGATAAGATAACAGTCCATGGAAAGTCGATATGTGACCCTGCCTGTGGCAGACTGCCAGTGAGCTAAGCACATTTCTGGCTGTTCTGTTGTAGAACAACATGCATGGGTCTGAATGTCTTCTCAATCAATCAGTTCTTTGCACTTGGTATCTGTGGACTTAGGAGCAGAAAATTTTAATTAATCAAGCTTTGAGAGCTTCTTATATGGCGGAAGTTTTTCTAACCAGAAATGACATTCACACCAGCAGTTGGTAGATTTCTTTGATTCATTTCTGGGTTTGAATCTGTTTCTCAGATTTTCTCTGCAAAAGCCTTCACTAACAGAATTTGAACTAGCAAATCCTCAGTGAAGGTGTATAATCTAATCAGATAAATAGAATGAGGTGCATCAGAAACTCTCAAGGCTATTAAAGTCCATAGAAAGAGGAAGAAGTAGTCAAGGAGGGATTGTGAAATTTGGCAAAGCATGGGCAACTGGAAAACAGATATTTTTCCACTTTACTGTTGTTGTCTGTATAATTTTTAAAGGCAGAATGTGTTTTTCAACAACAAAAATTGATCAGGAGTTGAAATTTGCAGTTTCCCATTAGGGACACAAAAAGTCATGGGAAGAAGAAGCACTTCTGAAAATCCAGCCACTGTTTTGCATCCTCAGGTCAAGAAGTTGCTGAAACACTCACTAAGCATTAATCCTTTGGGTAGCCCCACTCAGTTAGTGGGAACTGCCATCTCCCTGATTATATACCTATTATAAGATATGAAAACAGAGTGAGGATTTTTATATGTAAAAGTAAGTGGTTCATTTTCTTAATTTATTCTACACATCTGCTATTCTGAAAGTAACAAGTCTATTCTCCTGAATTCTTTATACTGAGTCATTATGGTTACCTATAATATTCATATACACAATGAGAGAGAAAAGTTTGTGCTTTATCTTTTCATGGGGAGTGGTGCTCAAACTGTATACAGTGCACATATCTAGAATAGAGCACTACAGGACAATAGCCTGTTGTCCCTCTAGTCAAATATAATTTATGCAATTTTCATACACAATAAATGTGCATTTTCATGTGTGTGATTGTATTTTCCCCCCAGAAACTCAGTCACAGAGTGGGAGAAGAGACAATAATGGAAATGCTAGCAGCAGAGCATTATGGCACTTGTCCTGCAGCTCAGTTCGTTATGTCTCTATAAGGCATTGGCACACTCGAGATGTGAAATTGTGTAATACAAATCACAATCTAAAAATATGTTGGAGCTCAGCCCAACAGGGAGTGTGCGTTCCTTTCCATTGCAACAATACCCTGAAGAAAAAGTCCTCTTGTTAAGCCTAACCAAATGCAAGGAAAAGAAAATAGGAATACAAAAGTGTAATATCTTGTTAAAACAATTAGTATTGCCTCACTAAATTTGGTCCAAAAAAACCACTACAACTAAATCCCTTAGGGTTATTTGTAACTAGCAATTTATTTCTGTGAAAGCTGTTGAATTCTTTTTTTCCTGTGTAGCTAAAATTTTCACTATGCATTTGTTATTAATAAATAACTTCTAACTTGGAAGCTGGCAGTAAGTTGGGATTGCTTGAAGTTTTTGTTTGCCTGTTTCTAATGAGATCTTACTTCATTATTCTGTATTAGAATTCTCTATTTCTTTAAGATATAAGTGCAGATACCAGTGTCTAGGTAAAATGACAAATGCTCAATAGATTCCCATGAATGTGCTTAAGCAGGAAGAGTCCTGGTGAAATCAATTGTGTATCATATACAAAGGAATGAAAACATGTGGCAGAGGCTCAGAGCATAAACTCTAGAACTGCACAGGGGATGGAAATTCCATTCTGCAAAGAATTGTGAGTTTTCAATAGTTGTCTTATTTCTAATCATAAATAAAACATTAAAATGTCAGAAATTTCAAGGAAATAATATTCTAGGAGAGAAGCTGGCTTGGACTGATAAAAATGTTTTCATTCTTGCTCAGATTTTCTTTCTTTAGTTTTACATCACATAACACAAACATTTAGATTTTTAATTAAAATTCCATTCTGAAATGGAAATAATAAATTGTTCTTTCCTCAAACATTTCAAGAATATTATCCTTTTTTAATCCCTCAGATTTTGTAAAATAATATCATGGAGGTACTAACACAAATTCAGCTTCATACAAACCTTGATTTAATATCTACCTGCTCATTTTTTACAGCTCTATTGTATATAATATATGACAGAAAGTTAGTTCATAATTTTTTTTCTCTGCTTTCTGGTCCTACCTCTGTGTATTTCTTTGCCACCAAATTTTGGCCACAGACTCTAAATTTGTTTTCTGCATTTCCATTGCTGTGAATCAAAGAATACTTTATCAACAGCCTGGTGAAAATGAACCAAAAAAAGGAGGCATGATTAGAGATAAAAGGCAATTTTTGATTAATAAGTTGTCTAACAGTTCATACTGACTTGTATATGTGTTCCTTAAACAAAATATTTGTTGTGAAATAAATGCAACTTTAATAGAAATGGAACCTGTGCAAGTGCAGAGCTGACTAGGAATATGAATGCTCCTCTTCCAGCTGAAGCTCAGGTGGGTTTTCCTGTCAGAAAGGTGCCACTCACCTTGTTGGGAAAGCAGGTGGCAGCAGAAGGAAAAACAAGGGTGGATTAATTTATCTGAGAGGAACTTACACAGGATGAACTCCTATGGCTAAACAGCTTCAGAAACAGAAAGAGCAAAGGGACTGGTGCAAATCAGTGCCTCACTTTCCTGAGTGCTCTAAGAGGGGAAACACAAAGTTGCCACAGTTCTCACACAAGTAAAGAGCTGAATAACTTGGAAGTCAGCTTCGCTGAAGAAGAGTTTTTTCCCCATATAATGTATCAACACCGGTATGGCATAAACAGAGCTAAACATTTGTCCTCAAAACACTTCATAGTTTTACTTTGGAATTTTCCAAGTAAATTAAAGGAAGCATCCTTAACTTCTAACTTCAGAGTAACATGGTTATTAAAATTACCATTTCACTGTTTTCAAAAAGGTTGTTTCTTGATATTTTTCTGTCCCTTTTCCAAATATCTTCTGAGAATATTTTTCCACTAGTAATGAAAAGGAAAATGCAGAAATGTTGTGAGAATCCTTCTGTCTATTGCCTTCTTATTTTGTTTAATCCAGAGCTATAAAAAAATGTATAGAAGTACCTTTCTGTTTAAGCAGGAAAATTAATTTCAATTTTCCACTGGAAATTTGAAAAATGTCAACGATCTAGACAGTCCCTCACATTTTAATTGAGCCACATTTTCAGCTGAGACTATTTTGGTAAAAGAACCACTGCCTGTATATTATTTTTTTTTTCCTTTGGTTCTTAGTGCAAACCAACACTCTCTGTATTTCCAGAGACCATGATGAACAAGCACAAATTCCCTCTATCTTACCACATCTCCTCGAGACCCTGCATGATTGTTGTCTACTGAACTATTTTGACAGTTCTACATCATAAAACTGAAATAGAAAAGAACTGAGTCACTCTAGGTATTTTTTTGCCAATGACAGCATGTTCCCTACAATACAATTTCCAGTACTTTGTCCAGTCTGCTTTGAAAATGTCTCAAGGGATCAAGAAACTTGGGAAAGTGTTCTATGGCCAGTTGGAGCTCCGAGTTATGAAGTGTTTCCAGTTACTCAGCCAAAAACCAATTATTTTTTTCATGCCCCAGATTCTAGTGGCACTATGTTGTTTCAGGGTATAGGCAGTTCCTCTGTCTTTGCCAAACATAGATAGAGGCTGCTGGTGGTAAAGAATCAGTTTATGTTCTAAAGCAATTTAGGTGTCAAAATCTGAGTCAGGGTCATGCTGTAAACCATTCTCAGCTTTCAGGCCAGAGACAGAAAGAGACAATAACTGCTATTTATCACGTATTTCTGTTCTTTTTTCAGCCTCATTCTACCCAGTGGCATTAACTGTTACAGCAAATAAAGGAGAGCATGTGAATATTTCCTTCATCAGAATGGCATCAAAAGAGGAAGATGCAGTGATCTACAAGAATGGTAATCAATCTTTCTTGTCCTTTCTCTTTCCTGCTATCATTGTCTTAGACTAAGTGCCAAGTAACTGTTTTAAAGTTATTGCTGATTCTGCCCATGTTGTGCAACTGTATCAGACATAATTCCTCATACATTTAATGTTCCCTAAGGGAGCCATTTGCCATATCCCATATTCGATCTAACTTGTTTCTCTTCCCCCAAAATACCAAATCCTCAGTTTATACCTTTGCTTTGTTTCTTATTTTCCTGTTTGATGTCCTTCTACATCTCCTCATATATTTGCCTGAGTTTAGTTTTTGTTTTGGTTTTGTGTTTTTGTTGCTTTTTGTTTGTTTGTTTGTTTGTTTTGTTTTGTTTTTCTGTGCCACTGTGAAGGCTGTCTTTCTTTCTTTGCACTTTTACTGCTTTTCAGGTCATACTTTGCATTCTTCAAATGGCTTTTTGAGGCCATTTTTCTTCTATGATACTCTTCAGCCTAAGAAATTAATCCCTAGTAGTCTGCTATTAGAAAGAAAAAACTGCAAATAAAATTTTGTCCTTATTTCATTCAAATACAAGAATTAGTCAGGTTGCAACTTTTATAACACCAACTTTTCTGTCTTACATGGGATCTAACTCACATATAACTCACTCTTCAACTGTATGTTGCTCCTGCTTGACACTTGGAAATATGTGCTGTTTGCTATCTATAGAAATGTAGGAAAATACAGGTCACTAAAACTCACCATGCCTTTATATTTAATCAGAATGTTAGACCCCAACAAATTATAGTTGTGGAAAGTACAGCATCTTTGACTGATGGTATACAGTGAGCCACCAGGAAACAGGGATAAAATAGAATAGGATGAGGTAAGGAAGTGTTGACACACAGTAGAAGAATGGTGCAGTGAGTTATCCTCAACCCCAGTTACTGATTACCTAGAGCAATTTTCTACAGGCTGGAAGACAAAAATAAATAAAAAATGTCTTTTAAAAAGGCAATATGCAAAGTAGAGTTTCATAAATACCTGCTTCATTGCTCTTCAGAGATTCAGCTATATCAGGGCACAGTGGAGAAAGTTTGCCATCACTTTCGGGTCTCCAGGAAATTTTGTTGTTTCCTGTCAGCATTTTCTCATACAAGGGCCAGATGAGATGTTGGAACAGGAGTGCTTACATTCATGGTGCTCCCCTAGCTGGGATTCCATCTGGAAAAATGGCAAAAAGTCCCAAACTGACTCTGGAGAGTAGGTCAAGTTTTTCACCTGAGACACTGCTGAAACAGCATGCCTGAGAATTCCTGATACAGTAGCTGGCAAAGAAGACAAAATACGTCTCCTGCCATATGTAACTGTTGCAGTTTTTCATTTAGGAAATGTAAAGTACCACTTCCCCCCTACAGGACCTCATGATGGCTGTCTAGAGAATGAAATGGTTCTGCTAAATAGAGTTTCTTTGAGACATCAACCTAACAGGTCATAGAAAACAAGCCATAAAAAATTGAGCCTTGTTAACAGACTCTGAGCCCCCACCTTTCTTAATGCTTTGTTGTCAAGTTTGTTATGCAGCTTGTAAATCAAAAGCTATCTAGAAAAAGCCTCACGGTTTCAAAACAAATCCATTCCATTATTTGTTCTTTTAATTTGGCCCTGTTTTCTTGGGAAACTGTTGCCACGTGTTGTCATGGACTGAAATGACAATCTTGGCTGTTTTGGTTATGATCCCCAGCAAAGTTTTATGGTTTTGGCTGCCTGAAATTTGACTATAGTCAGATTGCTAGTATGATAGTATGCATGATAACAGACAGTAAAGGTCCTGCTTGATGCTGTTTACCCTTTAAATTATTTCAAAAGGGTGAAAAAATGAAAAAAAAAGTTGCATTACCAGTGTAACTGTAAGGGGATGTAGAAGGTAAGGACATTTGTGAGAGTATCATCTGTTTAATGGTCACTCAGCCATTCTAGCTGGCAAGTGAGAATAGGATCAGGCTGTCTGTGAGGGTTGTTCATGTGAGAAAGTTGAGGTTATGCAACCTCGAGAAGTCCCCAGGGAGAGTTTATTGTGGCTTTCCAGTACCTAAAAGGGGTTGAAGGAAAGCTGGAGAGGGACTTCTGACAAGGGCACGTAGTGGCAGGACAAGGGGGAATGGCTTTAATCGGAAAGAGGGTGGGTTTATATCAGATACTAAAAAGAAATTCTTGTATGTGAGTGTAGTAAGTCACTGGAATGGGTTGCCCATAGTGGAGTTGTTTGCCTCACACCTGGAAGTGTTCAAGGTCAAGCTGGATGGGGCTTTGAGCAATGTGATCTGGGGAAAGGTATCCCTGCCCATGGCAGGTGGTTCAAAACTAGATTATCTTTATGGTTCCTCCCAACCCAAGCCATTTTAGTGAGCCCCATATGGACGTGCAGTACCCACAGAGCCACAGTTCTGCTCTGTGGGTTTGCTGATGGTTGGATCTATTCATAGAGTGTGTATGAGTACGTGCACATATATTTTAGTGGAAGCCTGGCTGGACCTGGCATTAGCTCACAGCAGCAGCTTTGCTATAACAGACAGGAGTGGAAGGACTCTCAAGGGTCCTGAAGTTCAACGGATGCAGCTTCTCTTTGACAGCAACCAAAGTTCAAATGTTATTACTTCCATCCAGAAGGATGGGGGAGGCCACATGCTATTGCCTTACCTTAGCAAACATTTATGACTAACTGCAGCAAATCTAGAATAACATAGATAAGCCCATTGGTGAAAAAAAAAACCAACAAACCAACATAGAAGAGAGAGAAACATGTTAAATCTGGGAAGAAAAGACAAAGTTGTGCTCTACTCTTTCTGTTTTGGTCTCCTCAGTAAATCTTTGTGCTGCTCAGACTAAATTGGACCTGCCTGGTACTTGCTATTCAACTCCAGCCACCCTGAACTCCTTATGGATCATTACCCCCCACTTCAGAAAAGAACAAGAAACAAAATGAACATTTTTGACCACTAGACTCTTATCAATGCTGAATGTGAAGTTGTTTGTCCCATTCATATAGTAAACCTCCTCAAGATCTAGCTTCTTTTTTACTCTCACTTCTCAACTATGAAAAACTAAGATAGCTAAAGAGCTGCCAGAAAACTCATAGCTAATAAATTGATTCTGCTGCTAAGCCCATGCCAGCTATACCTCTTCAAGCACCAATGCAAACTGACTTCTGTAGGTAGAGGGTGAATGACGTCTGCCTGTGGTATTTATGTGCTCCTTTACCAGGTTCCTTCATCCACTCTGTGCCCAGGCATGAAGTGCCAGGGGAGCTGGAAGTCTCCTATCCTCAAGTTCAACCACATGATGCAGGGGTTTATTCTGCCAGATATATAGGAGGAAACCTCTTTACTACTGCTTACACAAGGCTTATTGTAAGACGTAAGTTCCATTAATGTGTGCTGATGATTAATTTTTTAAAGTCATAATGAACCTGAAATGAAATACTGTGTCCAAATAAAGGCTAAAATCTTTCCTAGTATACACTGCCACCAGATTATGTCAGAAGAAATTTCTTCCCATGGATCCTTGGTACAAGCTGATATTGATTTAAACAACAGGTTTATGTTCAATTCATCTTAGCTATTTCCAGGAGAGCTAGCTCTTTTTTCAGCATCTCAGCTTTTTAAACATCAAGTGTGAATGAAGGATGTCATTGTCCACTGTGTCTCCCTGTTCTCTGTGGTGGGCTATATCCCAATCTGATTTATTTTACGATTTATTCATCTTCTTCATAGACTATCCTAGCCTTAGTTAACTCTTAAGGTTCACTTCCTAGTGGATGAAAAGGTGAGTTTGCATATTTTCCACTAAGTATTCTCAATGTCTTGTAGCTCATGCTGCTGTGTCCATTTTCATCAGATATAAAGAAAAGTATATTCTATTAACTTGGATAGAAATATAAAATTTACATGAAAAAATAAAGAGCTGTTCAAATATGTCACAGTACAGAGAAACATTTATGATGGTAACACAACATCCGCAGGATACTTCCAGGAGCTGTAAATGAATTAATGTAGCACCATAAATTTGAATTTTGGAGCTACTCCCAATTTACTAATTAAAGTGATCCAGTTGGCTGAGGGGTGGGGGTTCCATACAGATTGTAATTTTATGTATTTTACTGTTTATCTTAAAAATAATTTTACAACTTGATGGATTAATGAATAAGAAGACAACAAATATGTCATATCTTTCCAAAAAAGGATGTGAAGCTCAGAAATGGGGCCCTTCCTGTAGCTCCCATTGTCCTTCCTGCACGAACAATGGCATTTGTCATGAAGATACCGGGGAATGCATCTGTCCTCCAGGTTTTATGGGAAAAACATGTGAGAAAGGTAAGTAAATAATACTTTCAGAGGTTGCTTATTGATTTGTTCTGAGTAATAGGAGTTGGCATATTATTGAGGGAAGCATCATATGGAGTAGCCTTGTTTTACTCTTTAAAGCTATAGCATTTACAGCTCGTGCTGGAGACAGGACAGCACTGGGTGAGATGAACCATGAATTAGTAGGGCTGCTCTTGTAGTTGTGATTTAATCTCTCCCTTGTGGTTGTGATTTAATTTCTCCCTCTCTTCTTTTAGTAGAGATTATTTTGCCAGAGAAGATTAATATTTCCAGCACTTCTGGACCAATGTGAGAGCATGCTAGACAATACCTTCTAGGCTCTAGGCTCCTTTTCTCACAACAGGCTGGAGCACATGATTTTTCGAGGTCACTTCCAACACGGCCTGTCCTATGATTCCCTTGAAATGAGTATGCTCAATGCTATTGACTGACTGCTAAATGCATGGCAGAATAAGAGATCTAAAGGGTATGCTGGCCCTAGGAATTTTGTTAGAGATTCCCTGGATACTTTTGAAGAAGCTGCTCATGTGCTCACAGGGTGTTTGGTCTCTGTAGGTGCATATCGACAGTATTTGTCTGTGCACATCTGTGTCTGTGACAATTAGTTTGGATTCTGGAAGAATTTAGAGCAGGCTTCACATTGCTTTGACCTCTCCAAGCAACTTTTTACATTTATTACTAAATATGTGTCCTTATGTTTGACTGAACTGCAGTGCTGCAAATACTAGAGCTAAGCTACTGAAATAGCTGACACCCAAACCACTCTAGGGTAGCACTGCTCTTATCATAAAAGCAAAACCTTGAGATCAGCATTTGTCCATTTTACATTTAAAGGGCTTATAAAGAGGCTTTATTGCTGCAGCTGTGTCCCCTCCTATCCAAAGCAAGGGGTACTTGGCTGACAGATCCTCACAGTGAGCGAGTTATGTTTGTTTCTGCTGTTTGTACTTAACATTAGAACAGCTGTGGCTTAAGTTGCTATGGTTGTTAATATATATCTGGTATCTGAATGGTCAAAGTGATATTTTAAATTTAAATTCAAGATTTCTCTTGTTTAAAGCTGCATTGTTAGGAGCACTAGCTCTTTTATGGACAGTGCTGTTGGGTTATTCTTTCCCTCTCCTCCCTCCAACAGCTTGTGGAGCCAACATGTTTGGCAAAACATGTGAAGAGAGCTGTAAAGAAAATTATGGCTGCAGAAACTATATGTTCTGTCTACCGGATCCATATGGTTGTTCTTGTGCCACAGGATGGATGGGACTGGAGTGTGACAAAGGTATAGTGAAAAAACAAAACAAAAAAAAGTGGTGATCTGCACACAGGAAATACAGAAGGGAACTAACAGGATTTTAGGTAATAGGCAGGATTTTTTAAAGTCATGGATTTTTTTACGAGTCAAGTTTCCATCACAAGATTGGAATCTAATAGAAGATGTTTTCCAGTACCTTTGCACTAATTGGAACATCTGTACTTGCAGAATGCAAACCTGGTTTCTATGGGTCGGATTGCAAACTTAAATGTAATTGCCACAATCGAGGGACATGCGACAGATTTAAGGGCTGCATCTGCTCCTTCGGATGGCATGGTCTGCAATGTGAAAAAGAAGGTAAAGCAAGGTAACACGGTAGTAAATGGCTTTTCCCAGATCCTAATGCTGGTACAACATTACCACTCCAGGCTGATATCCTTGCTCTGCCCATTACATTCCAGGGGCTCAGACACTTCTGTACAACTTCATTGCAATACAGTGTTTTTAAATCTCTGATCTATATGATGCATTTATCAGGGTGATATGCTATCAATTATTCTGATTTTGCTTTCATTAGAGGTAGATTTTCAAGCTTTACTCTGTAGGATTTGACACTGACCTTAACATCAATCGCTGACAGAAGTTGCACATCCAGCTTTTGGATTGTCTAATGGTATTCTACCATTACCTACACCTTATTTGTCTGCATACATTCCTATACCTTGTGCTTCAGAAGCTGAAATTGACAAGTGAGATACCAAGACAACCCCTGAGTTAAAAAATTCAGTTTCTCTGAGAGAAAGTTAAGCTTATAAAGTTGAACATAACTCGTCTCTTTGGACTCAGGCAAGGTTTGTACATGATATTCTGTAAGACACACTCAGAATCTACTATTTCTGCTGGATAAATAAACTGACAAATCCACTACTAATTTGTAAAACCTTTCAAGAACTAAACCAAACAGAGAAATAGGACTGTGATCCAACCAGCCAAACTGTACTGTTGTGATCTGACTGCTCTTATAAGTAGATAACATAGAAAGCAAGTAGATGCTGAGATACTGTACATTCAGAACAAAATGTGAGCAAGATTTTGCACGTCTGTGCTTTGAATGTCAGTGAGAAAGAGAAAAGAGGGGTGGGGGAAAGAAAGAAGAGGGCTTGTTCCTTCTCATGTTTACATGACGTAAAAATGCTGATGACGGTAAGTGAGATTCTTGCATATGCCCACACGAGGGAAGGTAGAGCCAATCACCCACAACTGCCTGTGCTTGCTGTACACCTAAACCTGTTTTGGCTGTTTCTTTGAAGTTCTCTCTCTGAAGGGTGACATAGTACCATGTATCTTCCGTAGGTTCAGCAGATCTTTCGCCTCAGATAGAAAACCTGCTAGATCCCATAGAACTCAATTCTGGTGCTGAGTTCAAGCCATTTTGTATAGCAACTGGGAAGCCACTTCCTAAATCTGAAGAATTCAAACTTTTGAAGCAAGATGGAACTGTCCTAAGGGTAGGCTCCTGATTAATTGCTTTGTCTCATTTCTGATGTTTATATTGACTTTTTCTGTAGTTAATACACACTGATGTTTTCAAGCATAATGTGAAATTTTGATATTCTGAGGTACCCCAAGAATGCCCAAACACATATGAAAATTATGGAACTGGCATTTTAGATGCTTTTTATTGATATCACTAAACTGAAGATGAGTTTCTAAATTGTTAGAAAGTATCAATGGAATATTCCAAAATGCCTACATTTTTTGTGCCCTGTACATGTTTTGTCATTTCAGCCTGCCCGAATTTCCACCAGTAATCGCTCTGAAGCCATGTTTACAATCAATCGAGTCCAGCCCCGTGACACAGGAACCTGGGTTTGCAGTGTGCAGACAGTGGCAGGAATGGCAGAGAAACCATTTCAAGTTACAGTCAAAGGTAAAAGCAAGAATCTCAAGTCTCTTTCTCTCTCTAATTTTAAGCACAGCTTTACCATCTAACATGGCAGGGCCTTCTGTTCTCTTCACTGTAGGATAGTGTCTGAATAAATATCTACAGTCAGAATATGAACAGAAACCCTACATAAGCAACATATTAATTATGTATATTGAAAAAATAAGTGTGAGGTAAGGTTTAGAAGAACAACCAAGTTGTTTTGTTTTGTTTTGTTTTTTAAATATCTAAACTGTCAGTTTTAGGGTGTAGAGCCCTATCCATTTTGTGAGACTTTTGAAGAACACCTCCCATTTCCCTAGAGATTAAGATTAAGGATATACCAGAGTCTTACTGGTATAGGGAGCTAAAAGGCTGGTTTAATATTTGCATTCTTGTTCAGTTCCTCCTGTGCCACAGTACCCCCCAAGACTGACAGACAGTGGACATAATTTTCTCATCATTAATATCAATGCTGAGTTACATCTTGGAGATGGACCTGTTGTGTCAACAAAACTTCTGTACAAGCCAGCAAAACGTTATCAGTCCTGGATGTCTGTGGAAGGTAAGAGGACGTTCTTTAATTTCTTTAAACAGAAATTGCAGCTGCAAACTGAAACACCACCTGGTGTCCGTTCTTTATTAGACCAAAAAGACGCTACAGTGCACAGAAGTTAAATCCTTTATGACTAGATGTGTGACACTGTTAATAGTAAACATAATGTTCATGTGTATGTGGCACACCAACATTAGTCAAAAATGTATTCAGTTTACAGGAACCAAAGGTTTTCCCCTCCTTCCTTATGCACTTACTGCTGGGCCCAGCTGTTGAAAACTATGTAAGCAGCAGGTTTTCAAAAGTAGTGAGCAGAGTGGAGATGTCCTGGAGCATCTACCATCTTGCTTCATGTCAATTGTGCCCCTGGTGAGATAACTTACCAAAATATTTGTCAGGAACTGTATGGGCAAAATGAAATCTGCTTATGAGTAAGAAGAGCTCTTCCAGCTATGCTTAAACATTTTATGCGTGACTTAAAATACTATAGGAAACATTACAGGAATGTTAACAAGTAAAGAGTGACTGTTACTAATTCAGTAAAACACAGGATCTGCATACACAGTGCACACTGCTAAGCAACCAGTCCTGTTTTATCCTGAAAGAAGGGCAGATGAACAGGGGCTGGGTTGCAGCTCAACTTAAAAATAATTATTTTATAATTCTAAATAGTTTATCTTAGTAAATCAGGAAGAACAACAAAAAAAGGAGTCTTTTACCTTATATTTTCTGAACTTACTCTTTCTTAACATATCTCAGCATGCGCCATGGCTTTACTTTGTTTTGACTTTTGTTGTCAGTAAAAGGTGCTACTAAAAGACTGGACAATCTGGAACCCAAAACGGAATATCAGTTCTGTGTTCAGCTGAGTCGACAAGGGGAAGGTGGGGAAGGCCATCCTGGACCACAGGCTAGCTTCACAACAGCTGCACTTGGTAAGTCACATTTTGGCTTTTCACAAATGGGGTGTTCCAGCTGTTTTTCTCAGTGGTCTGTTCCCTGATCTCTGCCAGAGCACTTTTGTTTGAGCAAAGAAGGCTGGTCCTGAAGTAGAGTCCTTCAAAATAATCTCAGGTACAGGGATTAAAAAAAAAAAAAAAAAAAAAAAAAAAAGGAAGGGAAAAAAAACACAAAAAAGACAGCTATTATTTATTTTCCTTGATTTGGAGATGAGAGATCTGGGAATGGAAAATTTATATATTTTGTCTGGCTAGGCAGCAGGGTTGGAGGTACAAATCACTTCTTCTGCAGTTTTCCCTCTTAATATTAGATCAATTTGCTTTAGAAATGAAGAAGTTTGAAAAAGCAGGAAAGTTTTTAGTTCACTGAGGATAGATCCCAATCTGAATACAGATATACAAAATAAATAAGGATTGCTCCAGCAGCTATCTGACAAGACAACAACACAGTTGGCTTCTCACATCTAAAAAATACATCTGCAACACCAGCTCATTGAAGACAACCTTTTGTTGACACAACAGCTGTTAATAAGATACTGTGGCACTATCAATATCTCTTAGATGTAACTTCTACTGAGTTGTGTGGGGTGGCTGAATTACTCTGTCACCCCAAGCTAGGGCAAGCATTTGGGATTAACTGGTACCCCTATTTCAGCTTACATACCAGACATGAAATGTTGTTCCCTGTTTCACTGTGGCTTTTCCAAGGTCTTCCTCCACCAGAAGGTCTCACTCTCTTTCCAAAAAGTATGACATCCCTGAATTTGTCATGGCATCCTTTAACACTGAGGACAGAGGATGACATTCGTGTTGAAGTGGAAAGGAAGAGCGTGAATGACAACGGTGACGAGAGCAGTGTTATTACTCAAGTGCCAGGAAATATGTCCACCTTGATCATTAAAGATCTTGAGCCTAGACAGCAATACATGTGCAGGGTACGGGTGAACACCAGGTCCCAAGGAGAATGGAGCAACTATCTGTATGCATGGACTTTCAGTGACAGTAAGTGCTGATTCACATCCTTCTGTTTAATTCTTCATCTTTCCCCCAGTGATCAGACTAATTGTCACTTGATGACTACATTGAATATAATCCTTTGTTTTTATAACACTTAGTTCCTGATGATCAGTTTTGGTTGTTACTGCTATTGTTTTGAAAGAAATTCTTTTGTTGGAAATTATCAGGAACTAATAATGACTTTTTTTTAACGGAAAAAAAAAGGCTTAAGAATCCACATCTTCACTTCAGTGCAATTCACGCTTCTGACACACATAGCAATTTTTCCTCCTCAGAATGATGGGCCATCAGAGTTCACTACTCCAAGCTCTTTTATTACTCAATTCAGCTATGACAATACAGAAATAGTCAGCACTTAAAGAAGAAAAGATGCAATGCAAGGTAAAACCCTTGTGAGCAAAGAGTAGTTAAGTGGTCTACACTGAAGACTACCCTTGAATTCCCTGAGTATGAGCAATGTGCTTTCATAACACCACAACAAATGCCCCATCTGCATGAAGTACCATCTAAACAGCTCTCCATCTGAATGGCTGATGGGTGCCACTGCCCATACCACACGCTGGAAAGATGTTCTTCTTCCTCCTTACAAGTCATGTGAGGATGCCCTCACTGAGATCCTACATGTATTAACAGAAGTATCAATGGCTGTCATGGGACACTCCAGTTTCCTGAGCTCTGATGCCAAACCGCAGTAAGAAAAGTATAAGGGTACTGTTTTCCAGGAGAAGGTACTTAACTTAGCAGTCATGGTTGCGTCCACAAGTGTAGTACTCACCCCTCCTAGTGGTTTTCTCATTAAATGTTTGGAAATGTTGGAACTGATTTCCCTTCTTTCTAACAGGCTGTGTCCTGACAGGTAATTGTTCCTTAAAGCAATGAAAGTATGGGACATGGGAATTACAAGGGAATGTTGATTCAGTATAGAAAGAAATGAACCCTTTCTGCATTAATCTGAAAGCAATTTTGGTGTGCTAGCATACAGACCAGAGAATGCATGTCTTCATCCAAAGACAGTATACCAAATGGCACTCCAACCTCTGGAGTACTACTACTACTACTACTACTACTACTACTACTGAGTACTACAACAAGGGTGGTAGCACATCAAGTTCATAAAACTTGCATTCAGTTACCATAACTCATCAACAAAATCCTGCTTCTGTTTAGCACAGCAAAAGAGGCGAGGAAAGTGTTTTGCTCTCTGTGGGAAGGAGAAAGACATGGATGTATACTCCAATGCTCTGTGTGTTTGTGTTTGTTCTCAGGAATCCCTCCTGCACCATACAACATCAGATTTTCTAACACCACAGACACATCCTCAGTCATCTCTTGGACAGCTGCTGAGGGTCACTCCATCTCCTCCATCATCATCAGCTACAAAATTTATGGCAAGGCTGAGTACAACCACATCGATATTATCATAAAGAACACCAGCATTACTCAATATCACCTCAAGGGCCTTGAGCCAAACACTGTGTACCAGGTTCAGATTAATGCTCAAAACAACATTGGCTTGAGCAACCCAAACACATCGTTTGAACTGAAGACTCTTCCAGAAACTAAAGGTTGGTTAATCCACCATGCTAAACCTGCACAAACCAGGTCTAGTTAGCTAAGATGGGGTCATAATATTAACTTTTTAACTTTAGTTTTCCTCTGCTCTTAGCTTTGACATACAACACAGCACCACTGAAATTCAGTTCTTAGTTCACTGCATGCCACTGGTGAAGTGACAACATTCACAATTTGTGTGTATCCACTAGAAAGGGCCCAGAAGCTTATAAATTAAAGGATCTTCATATAACAGGTCTATTAGATCACTGAAAGTTACCTCAACTCTGCTCTGACAGAATGCAGCAAAATCTGTAGGTGCTTATACACCCAAAATTCAGTAAGCATCCATAGTATGTGACATTTTTGGAAAGCAAAGAGATGTATCCTTGTGTCTTTAAACAGTTTATGAGATAGGACTATTTAGCTATACATTGCTAATGTATAGCTAAATTCAGAATAACCTGGGAATAATGATGAACTCCTTATGTGCTTCCTCAACAGCTCCCTATGAATCAAAAGGAGGCAAAATGCTGCTTATTGCTATCCTTGGCTCTGCAGGGATGACCTGTGTAACAATTCTCCTGGCCTTTCTCATCATGTTGCAGTTAAAGAGAGCCAACTTCCAGCGTCGAATGGCTCAGGCTTTCCAAAATGTGGTGGTGGGTTTCCAGCTTTCCTGTGTCAATATGATTATTAACTTTAGCTCACCTTTTCCTGTTTTTTTTTTTTTGTTTTTTTTTTTTTTTTTTTTTTTTTTTGTTTTTTTTTTGTTTTTGTTTTTGTTTTTTTTTTTTTTTTTTTTTTTTTTTTTTTTTTTTTTTTTTTTTTTTTTTTTTTTTTCCCCAATTTTTTTTTTCCTGGCCTTCCCAATTACTGTCTTCTATTCATGTGTGTAAGTACTACTGTTGTTGTAAAACTTTTCTCCTAGTGAGCCCGGAGCTAAAGGAATCACAGATATAGGCTATGAGGTAGAAAGGTTGGCTTGAAAAAAGTTGCACATCATTTCCCTTGCTCCCTTTTCTGCTTTGTCACCCCTGTGTGTGACAAGTACCAAGCCAGACAGAAGGGAGGAGCCTGTTCTTCCTATGTGAAGTCACACTGATTTTAAAAGCTACTGTATATTTAAAGCTGCTTTCGAGCATCAGCACCTGCTGGTGAATGCTCGTCCATTTTCAGTCTGGGGACAGCACACCAGGGACCAGTCAATGGTGGCATCATAGTTCTGGCTGTGAGGAAATTGCTTAGGGCTGTAACATTACATGGAGATCTCTCTCTCTTTACGCACATGCACGTATTTGTATCCTGCTGTAGTCCCTTTATCACTCTGCTTTCCGATGCTTTTCTCTTACTTCAGAAGGGAATCTGTGAAGCAAAATGAAGCTGGGCCAAAGAGTTCCTTCATACGTACCTGAATAGGTTGTTTCATAAACAGGGAGACGGGGATTCATCTAAACAGATGATCAGTCCCCAGCCCACACAGAACAGCTTTGGCTGCTTGTCCTGAAACTTTTCTCACAGAAGTATTTAGTGAGAATGTGTAACTGAGGAGATGTCTCCTGGAGATAGAGATGTCTCCTTATGGAAAAGATAATTTCCTCTCCCTTTTTATTTCCTTTCTACTTCTTGCATCACTCTTCCTACTGGACCTAACCAACAGAATTTAATTAAGCCTAATATGAGATAAATCTCAAACCTGAGACTTAAATCAGGTTTTTAAATCAGGTTTTTAAATCAGGTTTTTAGAGACTTTTTAGATTAGTTTTTCATTTTATTTTTGCCCATGTCCTTCATCTCCAAGATGATTATAAATCTGCTCAGGTGGCCCAGGTCTAAAAAGGTACTTACACATAAATTATGAGTCTGAATAATGTTGTGCATCTGAGCAGAACTGCTTGTTGTAGTTTGTGTCTAAAGTAGGTGTAAATGCCTAATGTACTCACTTATGTGTAAGTAAGGGATGGATTGGGCTCTGTTTGTGTGTGTAGATGAGTGAACACACAGGTTTTTGGTAAATGTAATGAGAGCATTGCTCAGTGAGGTAGAAATCACAGTTAATGTCATTTGCTTAACTCTGTTGCAGAGGGAAGAACCAGCTGTACAGTTCAACTCAGGTACTCTCACCCTGAGCAGGAAAGCCAAAAACAGTCCAGACCCCACTATATATCCAGTTCTTGAGTGGAATGACATAAAATTTCAAGATGTTATTGGGGAAGGCAACTTTGGGCAAGTCCTGAAAGCACGCATTAAGAAGGATGGCTTACGCATGGATGCTGCAATAAAAAGGATGAAAGGTAGTAAAGACCACAGATTCTGTGACTTAAGAATTTTCTTAGCTGTTTATTTCAAGAGTTTCTCTGTCATAACAAATGCTTAGTAGCCCTCTTCTAAAGCTAAAATAAATATTCAAAGTTGCTATTTAAGTTGTATTAGCTGTTACCTGGCCAAGAGCTGTCAGACTTTATTTCTGAACGGTCAGGTTGATTTCCATTTCTCCTTAATGGTTAATATCATTAGGTATCACGTATTTTTCAATTCATTGGTCAGAATGAACCTCATGTGAGTTCATCTGCATAGTGGGATGCATTTAGTAGAGTAAAGCACAGAGCTAGTCTTGGGGCACAGCATTTGCTCATCCTGCTTTACCGTAGCCATTCAGAGACAACCATATCTATACGTACACACACCATGAGGGTCATTCATTTCCTTCTTATTCACTGGCATGACCACTACGTTCCAGACAGAACTACAGCAATGCTGCAAGAATGTACACATTTTATTGCAATTCACTAGATCATTATCTAAACAAATTGAGAGACACTCTTAAGTAAAACGATTAATTTAAGAAGAGCCAAGGTCTGCATGCAGGCAGAAATAAATCAACAGCACACATATGGAAAGATTTTTAAACATCTAGTTTTCACATTATTTGCTACAACATTTTACATTGTCAAGTAGAAGAGAAGTGACATGGTCTATTAAGATGCAGATTGCTGTTAGAGACATTAGGTTCTGACATTTTTCCTTTGATTGAAAATTTTCACTTTTTTCAGTAAATACTAGTGTACCTTAAACTTTTTCTCCTTTTATTGGGGCTGAAGCAGTAATGTCCCAGGCAACTCAGAGTACTCATAATTAAAAACAACATGGTTATAAATTCAGTTCAAAGGAAAACATAATTGTATGCTTATTTGATTTTCAGAGTATGCATCAAAAGATGATCACAGAGATTTTGCTGGAGAACTTGAAGTTCTTTGTAAACTTGGTCATCATCCCAACATCATAAATCTTTTGGGAGCATGTGAACATAGAGGTAAGATACTCTTGAATACGTGAACTTTAAAATCCCCCATAGTACAGGCCATATAGGCCATAGAATCTGTAGCTCATAAGCAGGTCTACCTGCAACATTTGTTCAAAAGACAAAGAAACTTGTGTTTCGAAACACAAACTATCTTACAGAACTTATGTTCATCAATAGATCTAAATTCTCCTCTACTTCTAAAAATTAGCCTGTTTGGTGTTTCCCCTCCAGTGTGTTTTACATTATCACCTTTTTTTCACTCAAGGCAGACTATTACTGACGACCTTTAAGTTTGTGATATGCTCACTATCTGATGTTTCATTAGGATATCTTTACCTTGCTATTGAATACGCCCCCCATGGAAATTTACTGGACTTCCTTCGGAAAAGCAGAGTACTAGAGACAGACCCAGCATTTGCTATTGCCAACAGTACTGCATCTACACTTTCCTCTCAGCAACTTCTGCATTTTGCAGCAGATGTTGCCAGAGGGATGGATTACTTGAGCCAGAAACAGGTCAGTCTTCAATGCTCTACCCACTGAAAGCAAAGTAAATAATTTTTTTGAGACTACGCCTTTTAATGAAATCAAAATAAGGTTTTAATTTTAGCTTCTATAGCACTCACTGGATGAGCTTTATTTTCCTGTCTTCACTTAATCCTGTCAGATCCCATGTCATGGGGAATCATGAAAGCAGCACTAACACTTACAAACAACATGGTGGTTAACTGCTTTCATCTTCAGATAAAATTTTAAATGTTCTTAGTAGTGACATACCATGGTAATTCATTGTTTTGTGTTCTTACTCTGAATGTTTGCCACTTTTAATATAGCAGTAAAGTAAAACATGTAAAAGCTCACTGATATTGAGGTGTATTTATTTTAGTTTATTCATCGAGATTTGGCAGCAAGAAACATCTTGGTGGGGGAAAATTATGTTGCAAAAATAGCTGACTTTGGTTTATCAAGAGGTCAAGAAGTTTATGTGAAGAAGACCATGGTAAGGATCAAAACCAACTGATACAGGCTGTTTTCTTGTTTCCTTCTTTGTGTTTTCATATAAACAAAAATGCAAACTTATGGTTATTACAGAACTGATTATTTAAATGTTATTCATGAACATGTAAAATATATATATCATGTTTATTAATATACACACGTTACTTGCAAATAAATTCTTTACCATGTTTATAATATAAAATGCAATTTAAAATTATTTATGTGAATATGGGTGACAGTAAGATAGCTGAGGCAAGCTGGTCTAATTCTATTGAGCAAGGACAAAGTCAGCAAGAGAGTAACCAGCAAGACAGTAGGTGTGTCAAGATCTGTGAACTGAAAAAAACAAAGCTAATGCTTTGTAATATCTGAAAGAGGGAGATGTGTAATAAATATCATGTAGTTATAGACCAGAAATAGGACTGTGTTGGCAAGTCAACAGGGTTAGTCAGAGGCATGTATCATAAGACATCACTTAGGTATTATTTACATTTTGTCTTGATGCTGGTTGCATAATTTTTTTGCTAGCCTTAGTGTGAACTGTCCCTTTGGGAAGGAAATAATAAAATAATGGAATGGCTTGTGTTTGGAAGGGACCTTAAAGTTCATGTAGTTCCACCCTCCTTGCTGTGAGCAAGGACAGGTTACTCAGAGCCCCATCCAACCTGGCTTTGAACACTTCCAGGGATGGGCATCAACAGCTCATCCAGGCAACCTGTGCCAGTGCCTCACCACCCCCACAGTAAAGAATTTCTTCCGTAAAAATGCGTGACTTGAATAATTTATTTACTTGATAAAATTTCCTTGCATAAAGTCAGTTTTCATTAATGTAATACAGAACAATTGATGGCATACAAATTGCAGTACTGCTGTTTCAACCACCAACAAATAAACTTTCATGAAATAATTTCCAGGGACGGCTTCCTGTGCGATGGATGGCGATTGAGTCTTTGAATTACAGTGTTTACACCACAAATAGTGATGTGTAAGTATATGTTCAAGTGGCATTTTTAAAAGAAATATTTTTCAATAGCAAGGAAAATTTGATAGTCACTGTTAAGTCAAAACACTCAGTGGTCATGTCAGCTTGAGTGAGCAAAAGAAAGCAAAAATATTAAAAGTCACAACAAAAAATTTCCTTTAATTTCTTCATCAGTGTCTGACCAAGTTGTGTATTCCCAAGCTACTTGGATTTGGACCAATACTTGAGCTACATCTCTCATTTGAAATCAGAAACCTTATGAATCTTTGTGAGACCCAGAGGAACTTGGTATTTTAGTTAGTAAAACTGAAAATTATATTTGGGAAAACCTGTAAATACAATATTTGCTGAGAGCTCCCAATCTAATGAAGTTCTCTGGTTGACTCAGAGTGGATTAATTTTGCTGCTTTCTGATTCTGTGTGCCCTATCATTATACAAATTTTTATGAAAAATGTGGAAGAATGTATCACACTTCTCTGTGTTACTTGAATACTAGCAAAACTATCTACCATTTAAAAATATTAAATCTTGTTGAATTCGTGTTGCACTTTATAATATCCCTCTGTTGCAGATGGTCATATGGTGTCCTGTTATGGGAAATTGTTAGTTTAGGTAAGTATTTGAGTTTTGTACTGCACAAATAAGCAATCTGAGCCAAGCCAATTCTATTCATTCAGTCTTTTAAATAATATTGCTTCACAACATGTTTCATTTTTTTTTGTTTGTTTCATTCTATTAAATTTTATTTAGCTTCAGTATGCTTGGAAATGCAATTTTCCATTTTAAATGAGAAAGAGCCATAATGTTCATATTTTCATTGCACTATAAAACCCAGGCCATACCTAAATATAAACTTGAGCATATCACATTATATATAGCCTTAATCCAATATGTTTTGAGTTTGATGTGTGGCTTTTCCTCAGCCTTTCTGAGTTTTAAGTCAAGACTTATATTTTAATGACGTTGAGGGGTGGGGGAGTAATCATCTCCTACTCCAAATATTATTGAAGAAAATTCAAATAAAATTTAGAGTAGGTTTCTGCACACACCTCTATTCATAACAATTGTGACACAGCCTCAAAACATTCAATATCATTATTTTACACCTCCTCTATGATTTACTCTGGACACGTGCCCCACGGTCTGCTGTCCAAAAGGTACACATTGAATACTGGACTAATCATGAACTCTGGATTCCTAATTTGTTTCCAGCTTTCCTTACTAAATGGGTTTGCGCTAGATATGGATGGGAACTAACAAACTGCAGTGTGGAAAATCAAGTCTAAACAACCAAACACCTGCAGAAAGGAGCAAAACCAGCTTGACAGTAATAGCTCCATGAGTCCCTACCTGATCCTGTTAGTGCAATGCTAATGAAGGAATGACTTGCCTATTGACATGAAAGCTATTGAAAAAACAGTTAAAATACAATCAGATGCAGGCTCTCAGACTTGTAGAGAAATTTAGGCTAGCCCCACAGGTCATAAAATCTGATACTTAGTTTAATTTTTCTCTTCAATACTGTGTATCAAGCAGTATGGAAGCACTCACAACAAAAATCTAGCTGCAAAATATTCCCTAACATTGGATGAATTTACCTTTTGCTATGTCAGCCATACTTTTCTGCTTCTACTCTGAAATTTAACTTTTTTTTTGTTAAAACCCCCTTCTGTTCATGACAATGGTTAAATTTTGCCTTAGGTGGAACACCATACTGTGGAATGACATGTGCAGAACTCTATGAAAAGCTGCCTCAAGGGTACAGACTGGAAAAGCCCCTCAACTGTGACGATGAAGTGTAAGTTACTGCCTCAGCTCCTAGCAGATACTCTGTTCTTTACATAACATGACTAGGCTTTAACTCAAAGAGAGCTTTTTTATTATTTCCGAATATAAGAAAATTCTTTTCAGATAGCAACCAGCCAGGGAAAATGCAATTTCAACTATGTATAATATGTATTTTTCTCTGAATAATGGAATGTGCACAATCTTTCAATAAGCACAAATTTGTAGCTTTAACCCACATGTCTAAACTATCAAATGTTTGATTTTTAAAGGTATGACCTAATGAGACAGTGCTGGAGAGAGAAACCATACGAAAGACCATCATTTGCTCAGATATTGGTGTCACTGAACAGGATGCTAGAAGAAAGGAAAGTAAGAATGAATCCATAGAAAATAATTAGCCATGAATAGTTTCAATATTATTGAGGTTTCTTGAGGTAATGCACCTTGCATCACGCTTTTTCTCTTTATTTCCTTCCCAGACATATGTGAATACTACACTATATGAGAAGTTTACTTATGCAGGCATTGATTGCTCCGCTGAAGAAGCTGCTTAAGAGGGGACAAATCTTCATTCATCAGTGATGCATTGAAGAAAACCAAACTTCAATCTGCTGGAGCCCAAAATGTGATATGCTGTGTAGAACTGTGTATAGCTCTAACTGTATATAATACATCAATACTGTTTTACTACAGTTATGTATGTGTATATCACACAGTAACCTCTGCCTTCACAGGCTGTAGAAGTGTATATACTGTTCAGAGCAGGAATAGACTGAAATAATGAAATCTTTCATTTCATATGCAGGGTTTTCTTTTTTTCTAGTTATGTAGATATAGTGTCTACATACATATTGTAATGCATTAGGTATTGCCGTCTTAGATTTTTTTATATTTTCCAAGAGCTACTGATAGCAAAGCGGTAACTTATTGCAGTACTCCATTTCATTTCACTTTGTTTCAAACAAAACTGCTAAGCTCAGTGCGACAATGAAAGTTGCAATCCAGTGTGCTCACCAAGGATAATTAAGACAGACTCCTGTTTGAATGCAAAAGTCGACTAGTAGAAATAGTCTACTTCAAAAATTCTATTCACACCTGTACGATACAAGGCATGCTATTGCTCTTTCATTGTCCAGTTTGATGGTCAGTATTTGCCCATATGCAAAATATATATGTATTTTGAATTGTTTAATGCCATGCAGCAACTATTATGAAGCACAGGACTGAGGAGAATACTACATGTTGTCAACCCCATTTTTACAACTGGCCTGGATATATCTGAGACATTCAATTTGTATTTCATGTAATAATTTCACTGAATAATTATAAATTACTACCTACTGTATACAAGCAAGGCTTACTTATTTTTGCTTATTTTACCCCCTTATGCAGTCTGTAGTAAGGCATGGCCTCTTGAAAATATCATAAAAAAATGCTTCAAAACAGTGATATTTGACCTGCCAGAAAGGTCTCTCATCCTTAGGTAAGACAGAGGCTTGATTGTCCTGAACTTCTGGTGTCAAGTCAACCAAGAGGGATTCAGTGGACTTATCCTATCCAAATTTCACATATCAGCTAACCTCATGTTTTGCACATATCATCCCCTCATCCCCTTGTGACTCACCAGCTTATAACTGACCATCAGACCACAGTGACTTCTCAGCTGGGTGGATCAGGTCCTCCCTAAGACTTGAAGAAAGATGCTTGAAAGAGTAAAAGACTTCCCCTTCAGATACTTACTTCGCAGATGGATGTTTGACTGGTTATGATACAGGTTTATCACAGCAGAGTATAGAGTAACATTACTACCATACACCAGGCTGACTCAAATGGAAGCACCAAGAGCCTTATTAGAAGTGAACAGGACAACAAACAAGGGTGCAGAGATGACTTGTGTGGCCACGAGACTGGCAGAACTTGCACTGGTGCTAGGCGTAAACTAGGAGTATATTGTTGGGGATTAAAATAAGTTTACTTATAGAATATTAGATATTAATTGTGTAGGTTTAATTGTAACTTGCTTACAGTTCAGCATGAGTGGGCCCTGCTCAAAACTTAGTGTAGGTGAACTTTAAATGAACTCTGTTCGTTAGCAGGAATTGCTAAGCAGGGGAGGAAAACGGAGAAAGACTGGTTATCTTCAGATAAGGGTTGAGACCCTGGAGGGCCCCAAGGTTGCCCCAAGATGGAAGATAAGAGCAGTTACTGGCACATGGACATGGAGAAAGAATCCAGTGAGGTATAAGAAGACGCTGGACCATAAATCATCACTGGACCAAGAGGCACGTGCAGGGCACGTGAAGAGTGTGTGAAAATCATGTGCACAGACTGTAAGGGTGTAAAGGCCCAGGGATTTCTCTGTTCAGGGTCCCACTCCAGGAGCACCCAGCCCAAGCTGAAATAAACCAACTCTGCCTTAGAACCTAGTCTGAACTCTTCTTTCACATTTATGGAGTGCACAGATTCACTGGATTGAGGGACAACTCCAAAACAAAAAAGAGAAACAAATTCAAATATATATTTTTCATAACAGACTCCTTGGCCAGATTTTTTTCATATTTTTTGAAGCATGGGCATTGCATTTTGCAGTCCAACTGGGTTCTTACGGATCGGTGAGGTGAATAAGAATGGATTTCCAAAGGGTGTTTTCTGTATTTCCAGGCAAAGTTGCTATCAACTTCTGCTGGAACTGCTCCACTTTATGTACAGAATTTTTCACAGGTCCAAACAGCTTGTTGTCTTGCACAATAAGAAGACACAACTGACTGTTCTGCCGCTTGGCAAATTTTTATATGGACCAAGATGTCACATAAGTAAAGAGTCAGAGAGTCATTCATCAACTCAACAGGTTTTAATACTGTCTGCATTTCAAGTGCTCAGGTCTCACTGTAATTTACCTGAAGGGCATTGAAGTGCCCTTACAAGCATTCTTCATTTAACACTGTGGCATGCATTAACTTTCTAATCTGTTGTAATATTTTTTAATTACTATTTTAAAAAACGCACGCAAAAAATCAAATGCACAGCTTCAGATGTCTCTATTCAGTCTATACATCACAGAAGTACATTAGAAGTAATAGAAACTATTAGAGACATCCATTAGTTCTATCAGACACATCCATTTGACAGTAGTTGGAGTCTCAAATAAACAAATTGCTTCTACACTTGTAGCATTCACTGGGTACCCCTGGTTAAAGAGCCACACCTTGCCATCTGTTATCTAGTGCTGGAAAGCCCAATTTATGCTGGAAAAGTGAGATATAACTACTCTGAATTTAGCTAATCCACTCAATTGCTGCACTTCTTCCAGCCCTCAGTTACCCAAAAGGAAGCACACATCTGGCCTTAAATGGCAGGGATATTTAATTCTTACTTCTCTGTGGGCACCCTGTACCTGACACAACTTCAAAGTCAAACTGTGCCCCTCTCTGCTAACCAAGGCATTTGCTGAAACTAAAACACAAAATGTTGACTATTACATAATGTTTCATCAAAGTGTATAAATAACTGATGGAAGGAAGTAAGGCAGATGGAAGCAGAGTCTTCTCAGTAGAATCCAGTGGCAGGATGAGAAGCAGTGGGAATAAACAGAAATCTAGGAAAACGTGTGGTCAAGATATTGAAGACACTTCCCAGAAATTTTAGAGTCTCTGGTCTTAGAGATACTCAAAACCCGACTGGACACCATAGAGGACTGGAAGTTCAGTTCCTGGTTGGAGCTGCATGGTTTGGTTTGATCAGCTTTGTTTTGGCAAGCTTTGTGGAGTACATTTCATTCCTTCTTCTTTTTTTTTTAACCTCTCCAAAAAAGTAACTTCTCTTACAACTGAAATGTGACAGTGGAAATTATTTTCCTTTCCCTATTCTAGATCCTCATGGAATTCACCTGCTGCCAGAGAGGGCTGAATCTCTGCCTGACCAGCAGTATTTACTGGCTCTGGGCCTCAGAAATAAATGTATTGGAAAAGTCATGGAAAGGTCTTTAATTTAAGAACTTCCAATCTTTCCAGGTACACACAACTTGTTTAACAGCTCAGATAGCTCAGGAGTGATCTCCATGACCTTTGTTAAATGAAGAGGGGAGGGTGGTTTCTCAGGATCCATTTTTTTGTGCCAGCAGCACTGACTACCCACAAATCTCTCGCCATACATACTGTTCCCTCCTCCTCCAGTTTATCCATCACCCTGATAAATCCTCTGTGTAAAATGGATGTGAATAAGCACAGTCTATGCTTTTGTGATTTCACTTCCTAGACCAGAAAGCACATTTCGGTCCTACCATGGAAGAAGAATCAGAAGCATTTTGGGAAAACTCTGGGAAAAAGATCATGCCAGTGATGGATTTTATAAGAAGCACCAAAATAAAGGTGAGTATCAAGTTCCCTTTCTGGTGTGTGGTATGTATGGCCACAGAAGCCTGGGTGTGTGAGAAGGATGTGTGTTTTCTGAGGGGTAGCTCATGCTGCATGTGCTCCTCCTGTGTCCAGAAATGCTCTGTGAATTGCACAAGGAACAGAGTTCAAAAAAGGTTTAGATACTTTTAAAGCCCCACATATTATAGCCCTACTTCACACAGCCACCAACAGAGTTACTCATGACATTCAATAACCACAGTATACTGCACATACCACCGGGATCTCCATCAGGGGTGAATAGTTGCTACTTGAAGCATTTCTAGTGATTTAGATCCTGATCCCTATGGAGTGAAGTATGTGAAATAACCTTCATGTTTGTTACCACCATATGAAAGGTATAGTAGTTAATTCCCTCCTTTCTGCAATGAAACTTTAGGTTGAATAAGGGAAAAAAAGAAGTGGGAAAAGCCAAGCAACAAAGGTACTGTACACACAACATCCTGCTGCTGCAGTGCTGTGATATCTCAAACAAGCATTCTGGGTCTCCGATGCATCTGTGGGAGCTTCTCTGGACACATCTGTGAGCTGCAGACAACTGGGTGTAATGGATGTAAAGAAAGCAAGAAAAAACAGTTTAAACAGAATGTGAGACAACCTGGTAGGTGGTGGTGGGGGAAACCATTGGGCCAAAATGGGCAAGTCCCATCAAAAATGGGTGCTATTTGCTACTTGTCATTCAGAGACAGAGCTCAAAGGGAGTTCATAAAGCACATGAGAAATTTCAAGCATTGCTTAAGGCCAAAATGGCACATTTCTCAGCTAGCAGCATGCCACTTCTCTTCTGAGGTTCTCCTACTGATGGAACCAAAGCTACAGCAAAAGATGATGTGCTCCAGGGACATTTTTAGAAGTGGACCTTGGTGGAACTAGTTCAAGATGACATGATTTGGATTTTGTATAATGGGAGACAGAACATGGGACAGATTAGAAAGACACTGGTGTCTGAGGGTATTTGCACCTTACCATGAAATGGGTTTCCTTAAATAAGGAGGTTCTCCTTCCACCATCTCTATTCCCGCAGTGCCAAGTGACCAGATGTCCACTTGGGGGCCATATACTTCTTCTGTTGCATATTCCGGCGTTATCCAGTAAAGAGCCCCAACCACCAAGCTCTGTTTACTCTGCTCAGGAGTGACGTGAGCAGAGAGAACAAAATCATCTGAAGAGAAAAACAAACACCGTTAAAGCCAGCTAGAATTAGGAAACCAAGCAAAAGCATTCTCCCCTCAGTCTGAGAGCATGGTGTTGGATCTCACTGGAGAAACGGCCATGCTCTGTTTCCTCAGAGCTGTAGCCAAGGAAATATGGAACTGGTCATTTCTATTCACCTGAATAGATTGTAACTCCATGCCTCTGGAAGGGACACACACAAACCAAGGCCACTCTTGATACCTTGTTCCTCATGATACCCTTCCGCACACTGCAGCTCTGCTCTCAGCTTGCAGCAGGGGTCCCTGCACTCACACAATCACTATTTTTGGCTAACTGGCAGTCAGTCTTATGCAGCCCCCCATTGCATTCCCTGAATGCTGTGCCAGACCAATAATAACCACCCATTTTGACAGATCCATCCATTCCAAGAAGAATGTTAGTGCTTTCGAAGTCTCTGTGCATCACCTGGTTTGAATGAGGGAAATCCAGGGCTTGCAGGCACTGAGGGACAAAAAAGAAACATGAGGATGAAAATTAATGACCAATTTCATCACACAAGAAAGGAAACGGCTCTAAAAGATTCACTTTCTAGTGTAATTGTGAGTAACAGCAGAAAATGGTGTTATCAAGAGACAGAGCTTGCTTCTTCAGCGCTGTTGGAGCAGTATCTTTCTAAACGAAGGCATATAGGCTTTCAAAAGCAAAATGTCAATTGCTGTTATAGATTATCCCCTGAAAGCACAGACAGAATACCTGCTGCTGCAGTGGATGTGCTCTCTCCATCCAGATGACAAATGAGGGTTTGTCAAAATAGAAAAAATCCCTCCCTTTGATATGAAGTGGATCACTCTCAGGCAGGAGGTTGCATGACAAAGATTTTATTGCTGTCCTTGGCAGCAGACTTGGAAGTAGCACATTAGTCATGTTTCAGAAGCAAAGACCATTTTGGGTGGAATGAGTCAGCATAAGTCCTCTTACGCTGAGCACTGTGATAACTGAGTCTCCTCTTCCATATAATCTCCAGGTAGTGCTACTTTGAAAAAACCCAAAAAATGAGTAGTTAATAACTTTTGAGTCAAATACGTGTTTCTTAAAAAAACCTGTATGTGCTGATGATTTGACAGACTGCAAAATCTTTCCTGCAACAAGTGACTAAACCCAGCTTATTAAATTATAAAGCAACACTATTCCCTTTTTTTAGAATGTTACCATCATTTAATTAAGAATTCAACCATCCTATGACACTCTGTTTCTAAATACATTGTATTTCCAACAGTTGTGTACATGCACTGACATTCAGGAGTCTTCTCCTGCATCGAGCTTCCACATCACTCTGACCTGCAGCCTTCATGGTACAGCATACAAAGCAGAATATCCCTCAGTAAGCACAAAAATTTATATATGCTTTGAAAACAAGGTTCTACTCTTGAGTCTGGAGTGTAAGATAATGGTTGCAATGGTTAGGAAACCAACAGGTTTTTTGGTGGTTTACCTTGGGAAACAATATTTTTTTTTTCCCCTTCCCCTTGTGAAAGAGTGAAACTAAGTCAGAGCCAGGCAGATAAACAGCTGAGAGTGTTGGATGGTTATATTCTGACTTTATGCTGTGGGGTTGCAGGAGATTCTGGACAAATTCTACATACTTTTGCCTCCCATGTGCTTTTGCACCTGACACAAGCAGAACAAGCCAAACTGTAGTGCTATAGTTGTGGAAGAGAATGGTCTTACTCTGCTCTCTGAGGAAAAACTTCATTTGACTAAAAAATAATGAGAGGAAGAAGTATCTCCTTCCTTTTTTTTTTTTTTTTTTTTATTTGTTAATATCTAGCAAAATGTAACCTCTATGATTATTTGTACCAGAGATTATCCTGGTCTTTATGGCTGCTCTTCTTAGTTGTGAGAAGTGGGATATGCTTTCAAAGGTGGGATTTGGTGACACCATCACACTGAGAGCTGTCTTCAGGTGGTCAGAGGCAATCAGAAGGCAGCCTCTCTGAGAAGACCACACAAATTACACTGGAGGAAAGAGGACACTGACTTAATACCATTATTTTTTAGCGTTC